AAATTATTCGATAAGGAAATAACATATGGATATTTTCGATCAAAATACCCATAAATTTTTGTATTCGATCAGGAAATGAGAAATATCGGTTCATTTGATTCTTTGATCGGTTTATCTGATGAAATGATCTCCATCATGATCGGAAGTGTTCGATTAATTTAATCGGATATCCCGATCGGCTATAAAAATTTATCGGTATTTTGATCGAAAATATCCGATAATTTTTTATCGGATAATCTCTCTCAGTGCAGAGTGAATGTTCCACTCCCGATCGCCCAGTGAGATTAAAGAGTTAACTCGACGACGTATAGTCGCCTGCAAATCGGTTTGCATACTTCTATCGAATGAAGTTGCAAAGCTTCAAGTTTCTAGTATTGAAAGTCACTGCTGACGTGTATGCAATTATGACAGGATAATCGATTAGACAGGAGCCGAGGTGACACTGCAGAGTATGGCATTAGGGAAATTTGAGAGAAAATACTTATCTTAACTAAAAACAACGAGTTGTTTTGTGAAGAAGTTTTTATATACTTATAAGCGCGATTATTGCGCATACATGTCAGCAATGGCTTTCAATTCTTGCGATTCGATGCGTTGCAACTTCGTCCGACAAAAAGTAAACACAAACAAGTTTGCAACTGACTATACTCTGTCGTTTATATAATCACTTTAATTGAGTGAAACATGTGCTGATTTGGAGTCAAAATTCACTCTAAGCTTAAGTGAAACGTTCTCTCTTACGACATCAAGCGACAATATTTTCACTATTGCTTCCACTGAAAACACTTTGCACTTGTTTTGAGTGAGATTCAACTCTAAGGAATTCAGAATAAATTTCTTGAAGCGAAATTTCACTCGAGAACAAAGTGACTATCGAATTACTCGAATTCGAATGATTTCTTAATTATATAGAATTAATTTTTTTCTTTCAATTATCGTGTATTTTCACTCGAAACTGAAGAGTGAATCTGATATATTCGATCGTCAGAAGAACACATTCACTCTGATTGAAAGATTAACTCATATGGAAACTCAAAATCTCTAAGCTTGAAACATCTACTTTTGCAATTTTGAGTGGCGATATTTTCATTATTTTCACTATTGCTTTAGTTGAAAACACTGTCACTTTACACTCGTTTTGAGTGAAATTCCACTCTAAGAAGTTATAATTAAGTTTATAATTAATAGACATGGAATGTCTGTCTGCTTAACAAATTTTGGGAGTAACTTTTTCGAAGTTATTTTCTCATCAAGATACAAACTTATAATTAAGCGTATGTCAATATAACACCAAATAAAATCGATATTCGTCCAAGTACAGTTAAAATTGGGGAGTCTAATCTTAGAGAGTCTACTCATGCGAATCAACAAACTCTCCTTCGAGCCGCGCTTCGTACGTTTCGGCACAGTTCTCGGCACGCGAGAATCTTGCGCATTCCTGCTCTGAAAAGAATCTTATCGATACAGGAAACACATTTGGCATCTGCCGTGCTGTGGTCGCGATTTTGTATGTATACGATCGCGCATATGTTATACATGCGCAAACCTTACGTTTAGCACGAGCCGCGACATCCTTATCAGCTGCACGTGTACGTGTACGTGTAATTACGACGCCGAGATCAGCCTTTAAACTACGTCGAAACTATTTGCGACGCAGTAAGGCCACTTTTATGCGGTTGAATTAAAATTCAGTATATTCACTCGGACTCGGCATTGTATTCTAATTGCTCGCTGAGCCGTTCGCCGCATCAAGTGCGTCGCGAAAAAGCATCACGATCGTCTAAATTCGTCGGGTCTAACGGACTCTTAACGGTTTCATAAGATGATTCATTTTCACTCCCGGCCGTCCCATTGACTCGTGCTCGACGAAAAGAAACGGAACCGCGACTCTTTTTGGTGTTACGTTGACATATGGTTAGTCATGAGTTTGTACTTTGATAAGAAAATAGACTCGATATAAGTCGTTTCGAAAATTCGTTAAGCAATCAGACAGACATCAGCATGTCTATTAACTATACAAATTATACAGAGAAATTAAACACTTCTTTCATCATTACCGCGTTATCGATGATATATATCTCAAGTCGGAAGTATACTTTTATAAAAAGATAGATTCGAGATAAATTACTCCCAAAATTCGTCAAGCAATCAGACATTCCACGTCTATAAACTATACAAATTACACAGTAATTGAATACATTTTTCACGATTAGCGCGGTCTAGATGATATATATTTCGAATCGAAAGTACATTTTGATAAGAAGCCAGACAATATAATCTACTAAAAGATGTCTTAAAGACGCTTAAAAGACATCCTGTTACTTTTAGACTTCTTTTGGACGTCTATAAAATTTCTTTTAGTAATTTGTGCTGTCTGGGTTACTCCTAAAATAAATTATTACCAAAATTTGTCAAGCAGACGTGTCTCTATTAACCATACATTGAGAGAAGTTATTCGATAAAAAATTAAAACGGATATTTTCGATCAAATGCCGACCAATTTTTGTATCTGATCAGGATATCTAATTAAATTTTATCGAATATTTCCAATTATATAACGATATTTCATTAGACAAACCAGTCAAAAAATTATAAACCGATATTTCTTATCGGATGTTTCCTGATCAAATACAGGAATTCATTGATATTTTGACCGGAAATATCCGTTTGTTAATTTTTTATCAAATAATTTCTCTCAGCGTACAAATTACGCAGGGAAACCGAACGCTTCTTTCGTCATTGTCGCGTCCTCGATGATATATGTATATTTCAAATCAGAAGTATCAAGTATAAAAATGTCGACATATCGCGATAGTCTGACATAATACGCGTGTCATTTCGTTCGTCTCTTCTCCTCCCCCCCTCTCCCCCTGACACGGAAGATGTGAGATACTGATGTAATATCTTCTCTCGTTTCGCGCTGCCTCCGGACTCGGAGGTGTCGTCGAACCTAACGCAATCCTCGCGACGATTACGCGCGCAGCCGGCAGAAGCGTTATTCTCGGAAGTAATGATATTTTCGGATCGAGGTGTATCCGCTGCTCGGTCATATCGCGCCCGAAGTCTGTTCTTTGGACGTTCCACGATGAAAACGAATAAAATCACGCATATCGATCGCGCTCACGAACAGCAAAACGCCTACTTGTAGCCGCGTATTCGCGCGGAGGAACGAGTTTGCGGAAATTTTGTTTATCTCGTCGTCGGTACTTTCTGTTTGTCGCGCGTCTTGAAGCCGAAGTATACGGAGGGAACAATGATGACTGTCGCCGCGATCCCGAGTCACACAAGCGCGACCAAACGATCGAACAGCTGTAACAGTAGTAGCAGTAGTAACAGTAGTACTAGTAATAGTATGTACAGCAGTAGCAGCATCGTCCGCGTCATCGGGGCCGAGCGCGCTCTCGCAATCATAGACTGAAATTCTAAATTCTAAATCAAAATTATCGCAGAATTGTTTTTGCAAAAGAATCTTCGCTACTCCCTCTTCCCCCCTGCCGGCTCGCCGTAACACTGCGGCGACATTTCCGCCGAGAGTACGCGTCACGAGAAGTATAAATCGGTGCGTGACGCTGTCGTGTCTTCCAAGCGAGTCTTGCGATATCGCACACGGAAAATGTGGCTCGTTCAATTAGATTATCTTTGGTTATCTGACGCAAGAGCTGCGACGTTGGGTCAACTCTAGCAGCGTTGGTATACTCGACTGTAAACATAGTATCATAAGGGGACTGTAACGCATGCGCTCGCTCTGTGTCGCTAGCGTGATCTCGCCGTTGAATCACAGGGCCGACGGGTTTCCACGCGGTGCCACGATTTAGGGCCGGTTTCACCAACTCCGGTTATGGTCAAAGCTGACATGAGTTCCAACTGAAAATTCTAATGGATAAGAATGACAAAGTACTCATGTCGATTAGTTAGAACCCTGACACCGTCGGTCAGATTTTGACCATAACCGGAATTGGTGAAACCGACCTTTAAATGTGGCTCGTGAATATCATGTCAGGCCATACAAACGATCATAAGCCTATCCTTTCTTTTAGGTACTTCCTGAACTGGTGGACTCACCAATGCAACAAATTCGAGACAAGTATATTTTTCGTTTTAATTTAGGGCCGGTTGTTTTAACCTCTTGGTAAGTTAACTAATAGTTAAATGATATATATGATAGTTAAATAATAATTAAATGATATATGTCTTTGTCTAAGTTGAAGCAAAAATAAAGACAAATCTATGATTTAATCATCAGTTAACTTACCAAGAAGCTGGAACAATTATAGCCCTTATTATATTTGTATACTCGATTACTGAACGATGTCTATACGTTCTTCCGAAGTCGCAGTGCTCATGAGGCCTGTTTGTTTTCGAAGAATTTCTGAACTGGTGTACACTAGTGTAAGTTAGAGTAAAAGAAAGTATACTTATTTCACTCTAATTTCTTGCACTGCTGCACAAGTTGTTCGAATAGACCTATGGTTGACACGATTGAGAGGCATTGCTGACGCGTTTGCGCTGCAATTAGTTAATAAAGGAATGTAATTGAGTCCACAAGTATATTATTCAAACTATAGGAGGATAACAATATTTGAATATTGTTATATTAATCAAACTTATTTTCACGGTGCGATCATCGTTTAGTAACAAAGTGTACACCGGTTGAGGAACTTCGTCGTAAGAAAACGGACCTTATCTGAGCCTCACTAACCTCCCTAACGGCAATTGCGTTTCCATTACATATCAATGGACGGTTAAGCGATCGACATGTGCCTTTGCTTCGAACCAAGATTCATCCCGAGGCGAATCAATTGTCGGGAACTTCGTCCTGCTCTCTCAATGCGATCGATGTTTAGGTTATCGCGGGTGAAACTCGCGAGAATTCGAACTCGTATCCATCACTGGCCGGCCGACGTGGAGCGCCAAGACCGCCGCGGCGGCGGCGACTGGAAGCTCTGCCCCCCCACCCGTGGCGCTGTCGGACGTTCTGTCCGCCGTGCGCGGTTCAGCGCTCGGCAGTAAACAGCTGGCGGCGCTCTGCGTCGGAGGCAAACGTCGAACGGGACTGTGCGAAACCGCTCGCCCATCCCCCTCCCTTCCCCTCGCTCGTCCGGCTGTCCTCTCGACGAGACGCAACTTGGACGCGACGCGACACTCGGCTGCTGCTCGCTCGGCTGCCCTACGGTGCGTCATTGTCGTGTATTCGGGCGTGAACGGAACCGAGCGTCCGCGACACTCGGCCGTAGTCGTCAACGGAGAGCGGCGGAGTACGCCACAACGTCGTGGAAAAGCCGCGGGGAAAGCGGAGTCTCTTTGTTCCGCGCGACGACGGTTCTGCGCATAGCTGCTGGCGCGCGCGGCGCAGCATTGTTTGTGTTGCATCGCGCTTCGCTACTCGGTCGGTTTCGGTGCTTCTCGCTGTCCGGGTATTCGAGAGCACTGGCCGTGGTGCATTGTCCGACGGTGCGTGCGGAAGTTCCCCGAGGAAGTCGCGCACGACAAATCCCGCCCGCGACATCGCACGACGTCGTGACGAGCGTCCTCACGAGCACTGTATTCTGTGTCGTTCTTCTCGAGACAAGAAGCGAGCAAGAAAGAAACGGATAAGAGAGGAGAGAGAGAGAGAGAGACAGCAAGTGAGTGGTGGAGCGAAAGAGAGAGAGAGAGCGCGCGTGACGAACGTGGCGGTGGCGTAACGCGGCGCGCGAGTGCTTTGTTTTGCCGAGCAGCTGATCCGAGCAGCTACGCGACGGTAGACGACGCGTCGGCGTTATCTTCACGGCGTCAAACGTAACACAATCATTCTCGTGCGAGGTCGCGCGTGTACGCGGCGCGTTTTCACAACCGCGATTGCCGAAAGACCCCGTTACGCGCGGGGAGGGGGTGGCCACACAGTCCAACCCCACAGTCGACGCCTGCACGAGGCGCTCCGAAACGTCATCGTATCGCCAGGGCCCCGTCGACCGATTGGTTCGTGACGTGAAAACACACAGCAGGCGAGCAGCTGGCCGCACCGTTCCTCGAATCGATCGATGACTCTCCCCGCTGTCAGGGGTATTTCCGTGAGGTTGAACGCGAGAACCTCGAGCGCGATCGATCGCAGTGATCGCGAATAACTCGCGCGGGGATCGCCGCACTTCGTGCTCAAGAAGGACCTACCAGAGGAGGGCGAACGAGTTTCGTCAACACACACAAGGTTGAAACTTCCCGTGCTATATTCGGCCGAACTTCCACCGCACGTTCCGCAGCGGAGTGAGCTCGGTGACGTAAACTTGGTGCGTGTGCGCGAATGTGTGTGCGTACGATAGTGTGCACCGGGACTCGCGTTGCGTGGAGAGCCGCGTTATGACATAAGGCAACACGATCGACCGTCGTCGTCCACTGCGAGTGCAAGCACAAGAGAGAGACAGAGATAGAACGAGTGGCCGTGAACGCGCTCGATCGCGCGAACGAGCCAGTAATCCGACGACGTCTCGTTATTCGTCCCCGCTGGATCGCGGATCGATCCTTCGCGTGGGCTCGCGTGGAACAAAGAAAACGAGCTCGCGGCAACGCGGGGGAAGACAGTGGACGTTCCAGTTTTCCTCTCGACGATCCGAGCGGCCGACAGTCGTCCCGACGACGCTGAGGACCCCTCCGTGCCGTCGTCGGCATACTCGACAAAGAAGAGGAAGAAGAAGAGATACCTGGATGAGACCCCGTGACTACGCGTCTCTCACGTAGCAGAGCGCCGTTCCCGTCGCGGCCACCGACGTCGGGGATCGCGTTGATCGATGCGGCATAGACCCGAGGGGGCCGTACTCGCGAGCGACCGGGAACGTGGGGTACGGCCCCGGTCGAGCTGACTGCTAGGGGAAGCGTCGAGGCGAGGGCCCGTTATCGCTGCTGTCGTCGGGGCCCTCGGCGAAGGGAGGGACCCGTGACGGCGGATGCCGGGGCTGTCGTAGCAGTTTTACCCTCCCCCTCGTCGTCGTCGTCGTCGGCGCCTTGGGCGCTCCACCGGCTATAAGATGCTGTATATATTCCATGTTGATACCGGCACGACCATCACCTTCGACATCAAGCTGGCCCTGCAGAGGTAAGTGCTTATTGATGATACACGCGCGTATTTTTATTTACTTATTTTTCGCCGTAGATTGGTAAATACACAAAAGACTGGTGATTAATGCTAAATATATTTAAATATAGTTGCAGAAAGTAAAAATTATTAATACCAAAAAAAGATATGATAATAACCAAGTACATAGTAAATTTGATATATATAGGACATTTAGTTAAATGGAAAGATTTTAGTAGTAGCTATGAGATATTTAACACCTATTACCAAGCATTTGATGATACTGTCGGATATTATGAAATTACTTAATTCTGTCTGACGAAATATTTGGTGACTATTAATATTTATTTTGTTAAAGCAACGAAATATTTGATATCATCTGTATTTTGATGTAATTTATATTAATATATATCACCTATTGCAATAAAAATAAAAAATATAGATATCTTAAAATGACTTAAATAGCAAATAAAATGTTTAAATATAAATTTATTTAAACAAAGTAAAAGAATTACTTAAAACAATTTTTATCTTGGTTACTTTAGTAATAGTTATCAAATATCTCATCTTCCGCTACCAAGATTTGGTATTAAACTTCCAGAATCTAATTTGATGACCTAAATGTACAGTTCAGGCAACTAAATCTTGGTTCCGAGAGCTACACTATATATATTTGCTTCACATAACTAAATTATTTCCTAATTATCGCTTTGTGTTTGGCCCGCATTATTTGACTGAATAATTTAGTAACAACTACCAAATTTTGGTACGAAATCCTTTTTTCGGTATAGATGGATAGATAGGTAGATAGGAGCACACGCTGTTTGTTAGCTGTTGCGGGAAAAAATCCCTCGAGTGTAAATATTGTGCACGCATAATGGAACTATATTATACAGAGGGAAACGGCGGGCTGAGAGGCGGGCGTGTGTAAATAATCGAGAACGCGGATAACTCAAAGAGACACTCGCACACTCGCGCTTTGTTCGGGCGCGAAAGAAGAGATTACATTGTATAATTTCAATTTACTCCTGGTGTGTGCGCGTGCATTGATACGCGTGCGGCTCACGTTTTATCGTTTAAGTGAATAATTCGTGATTCGCGTTCGCCGTTGAGATTCGCTGATGAATTGGTGTACGTTATCTCGGAGTACATCGTACATTCGAAGAAACTTTAATCTCCTGCGTCTCGACGCAGGAACTTCGCTTCCTATTAATTGACTCCTTTTTGTCCGTCACACTTTGTTACTGCGAAGTTAGATTAATTAAAGTCTGCGACCCGGTAATATCGGGATTCTACGGTCCGATGATATCGGAATGATATCGGAATTCTTCGTCAAGCGAACGCACATTTTTGTTTACTTATTTAACGGGGTTTATTTACTTGTTTAACGGTAAAATCTCTTTTTTTTGCACATAAAAGAATCTATTACGTGAGAAGAAATAAGAATAATATAATTGAAACGGAAAATACATAAGCGAGGCGAAGATACCGGTGGAGCTAACATAAATTCGGCGAAATTTAGTTGTAAACAAACCGCGAAGTCGATTTACAACAGAGAAAGAAGAGCTATACAAAGAGTGTAAACACAAAGGGCGGCAAGTAAGAGCGACGTGACCACAATCCGACAATATAAGGTACAAAAATATGCAAGCATCACATATGTATCACACGTGCAAAAGCATCATAAATGTAATTGCGCAAGTGTTGTAATTACTCGTATTGGCTCGCATTTAATTTCGTATCTGACAGCCAACGAGACAATAACGCGCGTCGACGATCGTGCTGACGGTGTCGTTAGCGCGATGTTTAGTGACTCTAAATAGCAGCGCGAATTCAAGGATCCGTTGAAGGTGAACGAATGGCGAAGAGCCATGGTCGAACGTAGATGTGTTATATCGCTTGTGTCTCTCCCGCCTCGGGAAATGAAGAAAAGCTCTCGGGAACTGCGCGTGGAAACTTTAGCGGGCGTCGCTACGTGCTTTCCGCGCCGAAAATAATGTACAGCGAAATCGACGCAGCGCAACGCGCACGTGGGTGTGGATTGGCTCGTGTCGCGCACGAGTCTGACCCGACGGTAAACTCGGCCAAGCTCTCCTAATGCGTACACGTCACGCGCGTGATGCAAACGAACGCCCGTTCTATCGATATTCCCGACGATGCCTACGATTGAGAGCTAGGGATGTGCAATTTTGTTTAGTCAACATAAAAAAAAAAATATATATATATATATATATATATATATATATATATATATATATTTGAATATATCGCAAGCACTGCGATTTTGTTCTTGAATCGCAATGCAATACGCAATCGGACGCAAAATCGCGCCTGCGATTCAAAATTACTCGTTGTTTTAATTAAGTATCTGTACATATCGTGCAACAATCTATGATATTTTATATTATCTAATCCCCTCCCCCAAACTTATATATTTAGAGGCATAATGGTATAATAACCTTAAAAAATTAAGTTGCTTTATTTTTTTATATATTATTTATATATGTTATTTATATGTTTATTTTATTATTATTCTATTCTTATTTATTTTTATTATTTTTACTATATATTTTTTATATATATTTATTTTATTATTATCTTATTATTGTTATACTTTATTTTTATTATTATATGTTATTTCATTATTATTTTTTTATATATTCAGAAAATTACCAAATATTGCTATATTTAATATTAATTATCATTAATATTTGAGTAAAAAAGATAATAAAGTAGGTCTTATTGTTTTATGAGAAAAATATTGTCAAATAATTATAATTAATTAAACATGCAATAACACATCTTTATATATTGCATATCACAAAAAATTACTTTCAGAAACGTTTAAAAATTAATGATTCGGAAATAAACAAGTTTTGTAAAATGTTTCTCATTATATTTATGTAAAAAATATAATAAGTTTGTTTTTAAGAGTGAGAGTGATATTTTTAAGATAACATCACTTAACTCATTGCGCTTTTATTTTTAACTATTCTTTCGCAGTAAAACTTAACAATAAAATTGTGTTTCTTTATAGTGGACACTTTAAAGAATATTTTGATGCAGTACGAAGAGAGAATTGATTTATTTATTTTAATTTTTGTTTAACATTTATTTAAACATTACGTTTCCACCCCCGATATATGCCCCAGATTTCTTTATCATTAAAAATCACTCGCGATTTAACATCATATTTGCGATACACTATACGGAGATCGACTTTGGTCGACGAGAAGTGCATCGCAAAAGCGTATTTTCTTCCGCCTGTTTCGAGCGTAACGTTGTCATTGTTTTAGTCTTTAAATATGACTATTTTAGTTTTTAACGTAGAAAAAATATATGTATTTCAATATATATACATATTATATGTTGAAACTTTAAATATTCGTATTTAAAGACCAACATTAATACAACATTAATACAACATTAATAAATACTGATACTTAATTCTAAATACATTTTTAATTGTCTTAATTGATATTTAAGTATTATATTTAAGTATTATTTAATATTTAAGTAATATTTAAATTTAATATAAAAGGAATATATATATATAGTATATACATTTTACGTTAAAAGTTCAAATATTCATATTTAAAAGCTAATAAGAGTGTCCAGAGTTAGATACCAGTATTATTAGTGCCCAGACATTGACTTTATAATACTTTTATCTTACTGTTAAATTATATTTTAGTCTAACGTTTAATTAGACGCAAATGTATAGTATTGAAAACTGGGAATTTGTTATAAACAACGATCACCTTCGACATTTTCGACACGAGATAATGCTCACGCTCAGGAAAAGTTTGTCTTGGGGCATGTAAAATAAATTTTTCTGTCTGTATAAGTTTTCAAGTTTCTCTCAAGTTGTGAGACATCCCTCGTATATATGTGTCTAGCATATAGATTGAAATATCTACAGCAACAGTAACAGATAACTTCAAATGAATAATCGATTAAAGTCTCTCGCTATTGACTCCTAACACATTGCGTATTTATATATATTATGAAAAGTAACAAGCGCTATATGTTGACTTTAATTTTTCCTTTTACTTGACAGCGTACTTGACAGAGTAGAAATTTATATAAATAGGAAAATTAAAGAGACCGTTTTTTCTTCCTATCACGGCGCTATAAAGATAGGTCCACATGGAAATAGGAAATGTAACGCTTATACAAATTAGCGGCTAGATTTATAAATCTGATTAGGCCTTATCTTGGCATGCCTAACTAGACCAGATACTTATCTTAATTTTTTAAAGTCTAGTAATACTTAAATTCTCTCTTCGTACTGCATCAAAATATTCTTTAAAGTGTCCACTATAAAGAAACACAATTTTATTGTGAAGTTTTACTGCGAAAGAATAGTTAAAAATAAAAGCGCAATGAGTTAAGTGATGTTATCTTAAAAATATCACTCATAAAAACAAACTCATTATACTTTTTACATAAATATTGGGGGCATAATGAGAAACATTTTACTAAACTCATCAAAATATTTAATTATCAATTATTAATTATTAATGAATAATCGTTTCTTCATTGAAATCACTTTAGGAATTGGCTAACTGTCCTTGATCAAGCTTTATTAGTACAAGTTACGTTTGGGACTTCACGTTAGCATGAAATTTATTCGCGAAATTTCATTCAGGACACGCCTATTTCGACCATATTTGGGCCCTACGAAGGCTTATTTTGGGGTATCCACGTCAGCATCAATTCATGAAATTCTATTCATAATTCTCTTATCTTGGCTGTGTCTGGGTCTTATAAAGGCATATCTAATTTAGGGCATCCCTGGCCAAGGCCACATATATTTAGGGCTCGCCCCGATTAATTTCTACCCAGATAGTTCAGAAAAACGCATCCTACGCAGCGCTGAATGGTTAACTCTCTATTGCCCAATTTAATTTCTCACGTTTAACAAATTTTTTCATATACATAGGATATTTAAAACTAAACTACACATAAAAGGTTAAACTTTATTTTTCTATTTTTTTTTATTTTCCCAAAATAGACGG